GGCAAACATCTACATTTTATGGATTTTTTCACACTTGTTAAATGAGTGCTTTTCATAAGATGGTTGATTCTGGATCTGTCACTGTGTAGTAAATTTATCTAATAATAATACAGAATGCTGTTACTTGAGAGGAACATGAATATATGTATTTCAATAAATTTAACACAACTCTGGAATATGTCAAATCGATGAACTGTAACGGTTCTTCATAAACGGATAACATCATTAAGTAAATTGGTTGGGAACCAGTCCTGCAAGTTTTTTGGACAAATAATTATTGTTTGGTATTGGAAAGTCTGGGTTCTATTCCTGGCTGATGAACTTCTAAATCTTGCCTAGCCAAAACAGAGCCCCAAAGAGAAGGAAGGCTAGGTTTCAGGCTAGCAACTCCACCTAGTAAAAACAAAATAACACTGCTACCGAAACTTGAGGACTTGAGGCCGTATATTCCCCTGTGAACTCAAGAGATAACACAAATTACGTTTTATAGTACAAGTCTTTTTATTTCAACGTTTATGGTATTTACTGATGTTTTATTCTTATGGTAAAACATACACACATTGATGCATTATTAATGAATGGACAATGTTTCGAGCATAATATATTACTCATAATCATATCAGTGTATTCACACGACACCCTGATTTGCTTTTAAAATTCTGACTGCACACTGTTTTTTATTGAGATTTTCTATATATCTGGGTCAGGTGTTGCTTCATTTCCAGGGCTACAAAAAGGAAGTCGGTACGGTGAGCATTAAACTGTGCTCAAGACGTTAGTCACATATTAATACTATATCAATGTATGTCATATCAAGTAAACTTATCTAACATAGAACTATATTTTGTCGCGGTGCTCAAATTCTTATTCTCTACATCTGAGACCTTTTACGTTTTCACTTATATCGATTAAGAGCTAAGCTTCCTGGATAGACTTTTGCTACATATCTATGATTCCCTCTTCATATATGTATATATATATATATATACCTAATTAACTGCTTACTGTATGAAGCCCTCTTGTAATCTCAAGTACTTTAAGCTCTAATTTGTTCTTAACTCTCTTATTTATCCATTCCATTGCGCGTTTGTTTCATGCTATTCAGCTTATGAGTTGAAGAAATAACGACTAGGTTACTATGACGATACCTGGTGACGTAAGTGTCTGTTTGTTTGTGTGTGTATATATATGTGCCTATGATGATTTTAAATATTATATAAAAACTTAAAAATTAGGAATTGATAAATTACTTATTTGTGTGTGTATATTTTTTCAATAACTCTTATTTTTGTTTTCAATTTCGAAATAATTTCGTATCTGAGACTATATATTCCTGAAGATAGATGCAATTCATCTAGTAACTTTTAAGACTGAAAATGTGTATGATGTATGATTATGAGATAATATGAATCCACTCGAACTGTTCAGAGTACTTACCAGTTTCATTGATTTACTATTAACGTGCTTTACAACCTGCAGCTTAAATGAAGTTGTTGTGGAATAAACCTCACTTAGTATCATAAATTAGGAGTCATCTAACTGGAAATTTTGTCCCTAACCTTTTTGACTTTTCGACCTACGATAGCAGCCATTCATAAAACTAATATATATTTCTTTTCACCTCATCTTATTTTCAAAGTCAGGTATTTTACTTCTAAGCTTTTTCATGTCTCCAATGAATTATTGTAGAACTAGTTGCTCTATGCACACTGATGTGTGAATGATAATTAATCTCAATATCTAATGTTGAATGCTAATAGGAAAAGAATCCCATCAATAAAATGTGCAGGTAGTTAAAACAATAGACAGTAACATGGGACTGCGCTTCGCGTTGTTTCACAGTTATCAGTCAGTAGAAAACTTTATTTTCTTTACATCTCATGTTGTGTCTTTTTGTAGAATACATAAATAGAGTGTGCCGATCTACATGTGAAACACGACTCATATTCCTCCAACACTTTATCATCGTGAATCATTTCTCAGTAGTCATGATAGAGGTATACGCATTTTTTAGAAGACTGATTAGTTGAAAAAGAAAATAATCTTTCCAATAACTTCATCATCAGGTTCTAAGTTTATGTATCCATAAAAGTTGAGGAATAGTAGTAAGAGACAACAATGTCTTTTGAAACCACAGTATTATTAAGATCAATAGATTACAGTTTGAAATATGTAGATGTTATAATATGCCCAGGTAGGACACTAAACTAAATAGCAGGTAAATTAAGAAAGAAAGAAAGAGCTTCGTGGGTATGATGAATAGTGTATAGGCGGAATTGTTACATACAGAATGGGAGGTCATACTTCAAACGTATGTACAACGTAGTAGACTAGGGATGAAGTCATAGACTTCACAACAGGTAAGGAGATAATGAACAGATGAATTGTTCTTGTGCACAAAGTTCCAGCTGTTTTAAGCAAATATCTACGGCTCCTGCTGTTTGGGGTATTCGATTACTCGACAGATTTTAAGAAACGATTCTTGATCACTGACATGTTTGAATCAGGCGTTCTAGTATGGAACTGTTAATGCTTCCTACTACACCTTTATTCGACCACACTGTTGACTGTTCTGGAACCCAAAAGAAACAAGTCCCTAAAGTAATGGCCAGTGTAACTGGCTCCATAGCTCTAGTCGAGTTGACAAAACGAGGAAACGGCAACTAGCCTAGTCACTTTCTCTCCCAACTCCGGAATCAGAATAGGATATTTTTCTAAATAAAAGTATGCAAAACACTTGCGAAAATAACTGGTTTCAAGTTACGTCCAAATAAAATTCACAACAGATTCTGTGTAAAAATAATAACTGTGAAATTCTTACGCACATTGCATTAAAAAAAATGGACTGTATACTGTGAATTTGTAAAAGCTAGGAAGTCTTAACAGTCGTTTTCTATAGTTTAGGAACTGAACAACTACTTAGTGTCTGTTTCCTTAAGTGTTTAATAATGAAGGCTTGGAGAAATAATAACCTTTACATTGCCTCAGCGCAGAACATGAAATTATCAAGGCAATGATAAGTACATTTCGAGCATTTTAAATTCATAAGATATACATGTTTACTGACTAACTGACCTTCGTTAACTCTTAATCTACGCATTTGACTTCAGCTTTTTTTTATCAATTTGCAGTTTAACTACATATAAAAGCTGCTAGAAACATGTGTAGAATATGACATCTACAACCTAAATTACTCTCAAACTCCTACTCCATTGCTAAATGCGTTTTCTAGTGTCTTCTATGTTGCTTTTATAACCATCACTAACTATGTAGACGATAAAGTATCAATGTATAGCTAATGGAATTCTACTTTTAGAAGTTAGGTTGTTATTTGAACATTACTCGAAGATCTTCACCGCACTACTTAAAACCCTGTAAGCATAATATATTTCTCTTATTAACCTGTGAATTATTCTATCTAGACAGATGAGTGAAAGCTTGAAAACAAACACTCTCTCAGGTAGAATGTTGTTATTGGGATAATTAAATCTAGAACTCATGTCGTAGCCTATTTAGACAAGTAAAATAATAACTTGCCTCCAGAAGATTAAATTTTACAACAGTTATTTGTTACTAATATTCTGTTGACTTATCGTGGTAATTGGTGTCGTCTTGAGTATATAAGCCCTTCATTTCCCTTGAGGGTTACGCTGGTTGAGCAGATATACTGAGTAAATTACTGTGCGAGAGACCATATGACGACAATAAAGCAGTCAGAATGAAATCCATACAATTAGTAAACGATTTGGTCAAAGTTGATGCTCCTAGCTGGATTCAACGACTGAAATATCGGTGAAGTTCTCTCTCTTGGATCCAAAATCACATCCTTAGAAAAAGTTATCTAATTTTAACCATAGACCTTTCAAACAATGTCTGGCGGCTTCATAACATTTCATGAAAAATCTAACCCCCGAAAAATTCAGATATCAGAAATGAGTTAGAAAGATTTCCAATGGGAATAATCCTAGTTTTGTTTTATTAACAGCTAGATTCATTTAGAAAGAGATAAAATCCTTTTTACACTATGCTACTTATTAGAAAGCTAAAATTATCATGAAACAGTTTAAATTGTTATTCCCTTAAGTATATCTTCGCACTGGACATAAAAATACATGCATAAAGTTGACAAGGGAATTTCTTTTCGTTGACTAGTCATAGACTACAAAGGTAGGTGGTAAGCGATGCAACAGACAAGAAACTTCTTTTGGGAATATTTAAATTTCATTACATCAAATAGTGCAACATTGTTTTTTGTCTTACCTTTTATTCATCCATAAAACACGATGAATTTCCAGGAAATAAGACGCTTGAGAAATCTGAGTCAAAGAAGTTTTAACAATCTGTCATCAGTCTTGCTGGGAGTTAACTTGAAGAAATACTACCCTATTTTGTATATCTTTTAGCGCACAAATGCATGGATTTGCATCAGATGCTGAAATAAAACGTTTTATCCCTCGAAAGTGAATCTCATCAAAAACACTAGACTTTTACTATCTAACAGGATAGTATTGTTCTGTGAGTCAAGTAAAAATATACTTAAACTGATGTTGAAGTAAGGTCTAACATTTTGTGGACTGTATCGAAGTATTGTATGTATACATAAGAAGAATAGTTCTTGAAGCTAAGATAGTTATTATATAATATTGGTCATTTTGAATCTTATGATTAACCGATACACAGAAGGATTTACAAACCGGAGTGCGTTCAGATGACTACTAGAAGTTTGCTGTGTGAGCATTTGTTTTAAGTTATAATAGTTGTAAGTTTTCGTTAACAACTGATTCGTGACTGCAGGTTGTAGATAAATAAAAAATTTGGCTATCACGCTAGACTAGTCACTGTAACAAAAACATCATTTAAAGTCAAATTGTAAAGGAATTCATTTGAGTTGAATAACTGAGCAATTTTTAACCGAGTTTAAAGTAAGATCTCTAGCTATGTACAAGTTAAGCTAATATTTTCTCTGCTGTTTCTTTTTCTTGTTCTTTCACCTGACCCAGCTTGTTGATCCAATAATCAAAGTGACAACTGGACGTAATCTTGAAGTCCCTGATGTGGTGAGAAGTATATTCCTTTGGTTAGGTAAGTCACTACTTCATTTGTTTGATGAATTCCATTCTTTAATAGTTCAAATATACTACAATGAAAAAAAGTTTTCTAGAATTCACCCATATTTACACATTCGTTTGCCTGAAGTATGGAACAGTCAGTCTGAATAGTCGACATAGTGACAGTCATTCCAGCACACAGTTTGAATGGCTTTGACTAACCACACAACTACTAGTAAAGTCGTAAATTGTTAGCAGTTTTGAAGGGATGCTTAGAAAAACTGGTGAGAATACTGTAAGGAAGTGATCTGCCTAGTTCTAAAAAGACCACAAATGTTTATGTAAAACTACTCTGCAGAATTATCCGGAAAGTAATTAGTTGCATTCTTTCCTAGATAATTATTGTTTGACAGTTGGTCAGATTTTATTATGGTTAAATTACCGGCTAATGACTATGCTATAATTGGCGAGTTTGCATAGAAGGAAATGTTACTAATCAAAGCGAAGAAAGTTAACACTTCAAAAATTAAAAATATTTATATAAAATTCCTAAGAATGATTATAAACAATGTAAATTTCAAAAATGATTTTATTTGATGAGGTTGTCTTGAATTTCTCGTTATACCGAAAGCCTATTTCACTGTCGATATGCGCATTCGTAATGCGGACACTGTGACGATGCCATAGGATAAATACGATGTTACTACATGTTTAATGATGGTTAGCAGTGAAATTCTTTCACATGAAAACGGAGATTGAGCATTAAGGGCCATTAAGACAATAAATAGGAAATTCAAAATTAAGTTGAGAAATAACAAACGATAACTATTGCACAAGAGGTGATTATCGTGGTCCACTGGCTTATTGGACAACCCCCTGGTATTTGAAACTGGAAACGCTAAATTAAATTATCAGTTGGAACACCAGTACCCACTGATGGATGCAGGTGACTTTCAAATAGTACAGTCAATGAAAAATATTGAGTAACGTCATTCATACGACTTTCTCAAATGTCTAACTATTTCAAACTAGAGTGACAAGTTAGATAGAAACTTACCTAGATTCCCCTTTATTGCACTGCTAGACAGAAACACCTGGTGTGATGAAGAAGTAACACAAAAAAGGCCGAATAATTTCAAGCACCACACTAAATACTGACTGAGAAAAAGCAAACTTCGTAAATATTTTAAAAATGCCAAATAGTTAAATCATTAATTCAGTCGCAGATACGTTTTCTTTGAAGAATTAGTTTGTTAGCAAATCTCACAGTATAAAAGACTCACTTACATTTTCAATCTAAACAGTTTATTCTATGACAGGTAAATTTGATTTTTATCTGAATAGATCTAAATTCTAGTAATTATTCTATCATAAAGAAGAAGAAGACCATAGGCTGTCGTATTCTCAGCCAGCAGTGATAGTCATATGCTCTCACATAAAAGTAACGTTCTTTAGAATTGATTCTTCGCATAGCCGTCGGTACACATTCTTCAAGACTCACAAGTTACGACTGAACACATTTTCATGGCTTCTTGGTTCACTATATAAAAACTGATCCAGTCTATACAGACCCTCAATCATTAAAGAGGAGAATATTGCTCGTTCAGTGATACAAAGGAACATGATGGGGATAAAATAAGATTTTATCTCCCTACACTTTCACGCTGTCATAATGACTAACAATGAAAACTCGAAATTAGAGTGAAAAGGGAATAAAATTTATATCTTATAGTTACTTAAATTTTGCAATCGCTTAAAACGGAGATTAAGAAAAATGCACAGCAAAGTAAGAATATTCTCTTATTCTTTTATTGTAATCATATATTTATTTAACGGACTGAATCTATTCAGATATATAAATTGAACGGATATTTCACTGTTAAGTTGAATTACAGCGGAACAGATGTGATCTAGGTTCAGTTTGTGGCCTACACAACCCGAAACCACACTTAGCCACCTGGTCGGTGGCGCAGCGGTTAGGATTCTCACCGACCATGGTCTGAGTTTTGATCCCCGGCCGACGCACACTCGATATCAATGGTCGGCCTGCAAAATTGGGCTACCGATATCACACGCTGAAAATTCCATACTTGTATCAAAAATACTGCGTGGAGTCAAGCTGTAATAAAATAAATAAAAATAAAAAAGAGGGAAGGTTTGGTATAGGAGTAGATATTCCACTGCAAAAAAACGCCATTATCAGTGAAATTTCAAATTTTAAACTTAAAGCCCTATGTTCCATTAAGAACAAAAAAGAAAGCAACGGACATGTGGAACAAATGATTCTCATTATATACTTTCCAGAATGAAGTCATATTTGTGCTCAATGCTATCGTAGAAGTTACGACTTCATTGCAGTTTTCCGTAATGATTATATTGTTGTATTCAAATTAAAGTTACGTAGAGATATGACAGGGAATAACCCGATGACAGGCGTATCACGTTGATTATTTCCTTTGAATTAACCAAACCAATGAAGTCTTCACTATGGTCACAGTTTGATAATAATCCAAATAACTTTTAATGTTACATACATATATGTGAGCAGAACCGATAAAGTTGGCAACAAATCACCATAGTCTTAATCATATCTGTCACTACTATCTAGTACTTAGCTAGTCGTTACTTAAATATGCGATTCACTCAGTTGCAACTACAGATAAAACGATTCTAGATGACCATATCCCCCTCCCCCAAAAAATAATCAGTCACTCTGGTCTCGGATCATTGAAAATAAACTGCAAGCACAAAACTAACGGGAAGTGTACACTTTACACTGCAGTATGTTGGGGTTGCACAGCAGTGAATCCAATAAATACACTCTCTGATCTAATATCCTGATTAAAAAAGCACACTTTAGTATGAAGCCTGAAATCAGCAGTTTGGCCTTTATGTTAATATTCAAAAACGGTCTTTCTGCTGTGGCTTCAGCTGGTTATTCAAAAAGTAAGTCTGTGAAGCCAGTTAATCTACACTATGTTTGCCTTTTGTCATTTAAGGGGGACTAATGAAGGTAATATCAGGTTAGGTGATTAGTTTAGAGCTGATATCCTAAGTTCTATGAGGTTATTTCTTTTGTAGAGATTAACTGTACATTCGTAGTCAAATGCTCTTCTTTTTCAAGCAAAATCAATGCCTTTAACAGAAACACAGTACAGTTACAAAAGTCAGAATAAAAGTCACTAATTTGTTTAAGTTTATTTTGATTTCCCACTAACTGACTTATACTCTACCAAAGTGCTCGGTGTCTGTTGACATGTCAGACCGTGGTACAGACGCCTAGACGACATCTGAAGATCAACATGATGGTAGCTGGTTGGCGATGAAAAACAACGAATCAATCACTAGAGAAGCAGAAACACCTGACTGACGAAACACAAATAAAACGAAGTGCTCATCCTAGACTTCACTGATGGGTACCACCAACCAAATATCATCATGGAAGTCATTAAAATAATAAAAGACAGATTCAGCGAAGAAAATTTTCTTTATCGACGAAATCATCTTCAGAGGCTGTACAGTCGTATTTATACTTAGAAAAATGCATAGTGGTCTATTACTGAGTAATAGGGGGTGACATAATTGATGTAATTAATCATGAGTGGCTTTAGAGGTGAAAATTAAAAGTTGTAAATTACATGGTACTCGACGGAACAAAGATAGAAGTTAGAAAAGGTTAAAATTGCTCTTAAGTGAGAATAAAGTTATTAGAGTGTCAATTTAACAAGTGTGAAGAAGGTGTGAAAATATATGAAATTGATAATAGTGAATTAATTATTAAAGCAAAAGCAAACTAAAAGTAAAATTAAAGATTAAGAACAAAATCAAAAATATTTTACAGGGAACGATAAGTGAAGAGGTTAAGACCAAGGTAGAATAAGAGACTGGACAAACTTTTTCTGTATACAGAGATCAGGGTTGTATTGATGTATTGCCAGCGCCTCCGCCATACACAAAAGCCGGAACCTGACGCCCTTTGTACAATTTGGCTTCACTTTGTAGATGATGTTGAAAGACGACTCTGGTGGAGCTATGTGGCCTGAGTTCACCAAATGCTCGAGAATTGAGCTAGTAATTGTCTTGTATTGTCCCTTTGCTAACCATGCCGGATAATGTTCAGAAATGCGTTTGGAAAGCGTGCGCTTTGTGCGGCCACCCCTATTGCTCAGTAATAGACCACTATGCATTTTTCTAAGTATAAATACGACTGTACAGCCTCTGAAGATGATTTCGTCGATAAAGAAAATTTTCTTCGCTGAATCTGTCTTTTATTCTCTTCATGACTCAATGGGTATTTTCCGTCATTAAAATAATCAGAAGACAAATATTTATTTTTACTTAGTCAACTAAAGTTTTTTTTCTTTTTTGTTCTGTTTACGTCCAGGTTACTTTAATTCAACCATAAATCCAGTTATATATGTAATATTCAATCGGGATTTCCGTCTACCATTCAGAGAAATACTATTATGTCGGTGTCGTGGAATAAACGCCCGTTTGAGATCACAAAAGTATGCTTTGGAGTATGGCGTAGCCACTTCTAATGCAAGTGGAGGCGGTGTAGCTGGAGGTGGTGGTGGCGGCGGGGGACCACCATTAATCAATAACGAGAATAATAATAACAGCTCACTTGCTGGTATTGGTGGTGTCAGCGGCAGTATAAGCCTACAGAACAAACGAAGGTCACAGATCAATACATGCAATAGTAATAATAACAACGGTAGTTACTTTGATCGTCTACGAAGTCATACTAATCTTGGCTATAGACAGTCAACTCAGATAGATAACCTCAACCTACCAACTGGTCGATATAATCGCCGTCAAAGCGGTTCTGTTTCATTCTATCGATGACTAACTAGTGTATTCAGTGATAAGAACAATAACTTAAATGATCAGTAAATGTATATAGTATGTCCAGTCAATGAAAGATCGGTGGTAATTTTAACATCTTTCATTTCAACAAAAGAACGACAAATCTATTCACAAGGAATATGGGCTTAAACCTTTTCACCCCTTCATTTTAACCCCGTCCCCCCTCCGAATGAATTATCAGTTTTACTCTTCTGTAATTTTATTATCTCTTCTTTATCACCTACTTATGTTTCAATCAGTCAGCCTTTACTGGCTTTTTTTAATGCAAAACAAAGAAATCAAAAGAACCATATATATATATTACGTGATGTATATTTTCTTGCGATTACCCGAAGAATTGAGACTCATGTACGCTGTATCTTATATCTTTTCTATTCTACTTTCTGTTTTTCAAAAATTCATCTTTCCAGATTCTTGTAGCAATATTTTTCACACTAGTTGTAGGAAGTATTGAATCCCCCCCACACTCATCAGCTCCCTAAAGGGATATATGCTCTCTTTTCTGCTCATTATGAAGAAATGCCATCGATTCAAATTTAAATTGCTTATTTAAACTAAGAGATAAGCGTAAACTCAAATTCATCAGTTTGATCATTTGTAAGTCAACTGATCGGATCATTGAATCATTTATCATCTATCTAACTATTAGCTGATTCTTAATTCAACAAAAAAAATTATAAATAATTTCTGGTGAAAGGAAATCATTCGAAATTAAATTACTGATCTCTGATTATTTTTATTGTCCTACAATTTGGTGAAACAGATTAAATCGATACTACAAAGGAGGAGGAGTCAATCTACTTCGCCTAATTTTCTTAGCCATTAATACGGAGGATATTAGTGAAAGAAGAGGAAACGGTTAAATATATATATACGTATCATGAAAGTTTCTGGTTTATTTTCTAGCTTTTATACTTAAGTGTATTTATATCTCTGTCAGTGGATATAAAAAAGAAATTACATGAGTTTAAACAATATATATATATTGAACTTTGAACAAACCATTTTATTTTGTTTATCTGCACACTTACCATCGCCTATGTGTAATTTTCCGTCCTATCCCTCTCCTCTTCTGCGCTATTCAATCATTTTTGTTTTGATCAGTTTGTGAAATGTAAATTATATGTACGTGGAACGGAGAAAACAAAACAAAACCAAATGTGGAATTCGGTATTCCCCTAAATATTTGCATTTGTTAGTAATATAAATTAATGATGCAAAAAACAGTATCTAATAAATCTGTATAGTCGGAGTTGAGATGATTTTCTCTGTTGTAAATATTATCAGTGAGGAAGTAAGTAAATAAGAGATTCATCAAAAATAAAACACTAAATAAGCTGATCGGGAGAATTCTGAATGGATTGTTATTATTATTATTACTATTATTATTATTACTGTTATTATGATTGTTATGTGTTATATGATTAACTGAGATAGATATGCTTTATCCACTCCTTGACTCACTCACTCACTTACTGGCTTGTGCTTTCTTTTATCTTATTCTCTTACTGATAATCTTAAAAGCGAACAAATCAAATCATATACGGTGGCGTATTCACTAGCGAACATCAATCAGTCACTCTTTCAACTCTTACTTATTACATATTTCTATTTATTATTGTTATTGTTATCAAAATTTTTATTTTGTTAACTATTTACTATTGCATTTAAATGCACTTGATATAATAGAATGAAGAAAGCGTATGCATATAAAAATACACAACAACAAAAAGTATAGTCAAGTTGAAGACAAGAATCCCAGAAGCACACCCGAAAAATTTCTCTTTCCACTTTTCTTTTAGAATTACTAAAAATATAAAAAATGCAACACACGAAGAGAATTACACGAGTTAAAAAAAACAACATTATTGTGTAGATACTGCCTAAATTTTTCTTTGTTAACCAGCTGACATCATACATACACAACATGTGAAATTGACGATAGAGAATGTAAGAAGTCTTTTTATTACTCTGTACATTTCATAATTCTGTCATTTTTTTATTCACCCGTGTGTTTGTGCGCGTCTCCGTGCGTGTACCTATGCACAGAGATGCACATGATCACTTCTTTTTTCAAAAAATTAAAGATTTATTTTTTGTTCTGATATTTCTCTTTTTACTTGTCATGTACCAGTTCATATGGAATGATGTTAAAGTATTCTCCGCAAAATACACCAGCTTGAACGATGAACACCATCAGGTTACAGGTGAAAAAAATGAAGCATTCCTGATACAATAGCCAGCGCATACATACTAGCATGTTACAATCGAAATACAAGTTTATACGTTTGACTTTGTAGACATCTGTCTATATATTTGACAAACAAACAACAATTATTGTCATAGACTAGCAGAACTTATTTGTTGGTACTGGTGAATTTACGGATATGGCTTAACATTACTCTACGCGTATGCAAGTATCCTCATATTCAGCTGCTTTATACTTTCATAAGTTCACTTACTGGGTACAAAAAAAATACATTATGCTAGGCAGATTATGCTGAGTGTCTGATGAGAGAAAATATATCAAATTTCAATTGCCTGTGTAATGACGATTATACGGCTCTACAAAAACAATTTAAACAAGCCGATTATCATCAGTGCTATTATTATACTATTATTGTTCCTTTGGGTTTTGAGTGGAACATTGACACTGAACAACACACCTCCACTTTGTTCTACTTCCTGATGTCCTTTTTATCTGGGCTCACGATTAGCTATAATCTCTCATTTCCTCCTCCTCCTCTCACAATTTCCTCCATATCACCCTCATACGGAAGACCCACTCGTCGCTTCCCATTGGGACTCCACTCAAGCGATGGCCTGGCACGATGTCATTCGACGGTTTCCTCAATGTATGCTCGGTCCATCTCCATTTTCTCCTACATATTTGTTGAGAGATTGACTCTTTCTTGTTGTTTTGTTGTCAGCCACAGTTTCTTTTTGCTAATTTTTCTGGCCATTTGATCTTCAGTATGGAGCCAGCGAAATGGGCAGCTGTTGATAAAAGTCTGCAAAAACCTGTTGGAAATCGTTTTTGTGACACGCTGGCCAAGTTTGTGACCCGCATAGTAGAACTGACTGATTTTATATTTGTGTTGAAAATCAGAATCTCGTACTTTATGCTGGCTGATTGAAGCAGATTTCCAAACTGGTTTCAGGTTGATGAAGTCGTATCTGGCCTTTCCGATTCTGGCTGATTTTAACATCTTCATCCATTCCTACTGCCTTTGAGTGAAGCCATGCTTCCTAGGTAGATAAGTGAAGGAAGCATCTTCTGTTAAATCCCTCCCTTTGATGGTGATTGGTGCTGGTTGTTGTTGTTGTTGCCCTTCTTTGATTATCTTCATCAACTCCATCTTCTCTATGTTAACCTGCAGTCCTGTCTTCGCTGCCTCCTCAGTTAATTTGTTGGTTTTCGCTTGCAAGTCTTCTAGTTTGCATGACATTAGACATATAACATCTGCGAAATCCAGATCTTCTAGAGTCTTTTTATCGGTCATCCAGCGTATTCATGATTTCTCGCCCCCAACAGTCTGACGCATAATCCAGTCCACCACAATGAAAAATATCACTGGTGATAAAAGGCAGCCAGCTTGTCTTACTCCTGTATGCACTTCGAACGCCTCGTTGGATCATCTGACTGACACGTGGCAGTGTCATATAACCAGCTTTTGAATGAGGTAGATAAAGAGTTGGACACTGCATGCTGTATTGCCGGAGTTGTTTTTGAATTGCTTCTTGGTCAACACTGTCTGCTGAACACTCTTTATAAATCGATGAAGGAAGTTGAGGTGAAGAAGGGTTTGACTACCGTTCTATGCTTTGTTCGATGATGATGAGTAGAGATACAATTTGTTCAGCACATGATTTGCCTTTCCTCAATCCACCCTGTTCTAGGTGTGGACAAGAGCATGATTCAACTCCAGTTCTTGCATAGGCCTAAGTCGCCTCTCTTTGACAGCTTGACGGGGTAACCAGCCCTTTTTACAATCAGTAGGCAACTTTTCTTCTTTCCAAACATTTTGCAGTAATGGAGTGAGAACATCTGCCGTATTCTCTAGGATCGTCTTCAGTGCTTCGGGAAGGATGCCGTCTCGTCTTTCTGTCTTCCCGGACGGTATTCAGTAGCTTGATCGCATTCAGGACTTCGTCTTTCGCTGGGGGAGTGGTGTCAACTGGCAGTTCTTTGCGTGCTGTTGGTGGTAGTTCTGGGCGAGTTGCAGATGATGGTCGACTCGAGAGTGCTTTGAAGTGGTCAGCCCATGCTTCGATTTGTTTATTCTCCTTGGTAAACAGGTTTCCTTGAGCATCGTTTGGTAAATTCATCATCTTGGTTCATCTCTTCTCGGATAGAGGCTTGGTTATCTGTTACAGTGTCCCAATATCTCTCTTTCCTGTGGCCCACCTGTTCTGCTTCACTTGCCGGTCAGTGTGCCGTAGAATTGTCGTTTGTCTTTCTAAGCACTCTTCATCACCTCCGTCTTTATTCAGTGCACTGTACATTGAACTCAGCTTCTCCTTCTGTTGCCCATCTTTGCATTGAGTCATTTTCTCCTTCACCATCCCCCTCTCCTCTCCTCGATTAGCTTCCAGGTATCCGTTGAAAGCCATTTCTTGTTTTGTCTCTCCTTTCTACTTAGAACAACTGTACACGTTTCCTTGAACATCACCTGCCTTCAGAGAGTCAGTTCCAATGTTCCTCCACATAGGTTCTCACAGTGATGCCACGTAGTGTCTATGACTTCGTTCTGATCTGATGTGTAGTGAAGACATCCCGTGTAGTTTTGTCCTTCAGTTCAGTTTTTGAATGTTGAACTTGACATACAGTGGCCAGTCTCCAGCTGTTTTCATGGATTTCAGCTTCACCTTGAAAATTCCTTGAACTAGATGATGTTCTGAGCCCCCCCATATCTCCTCCTTTTGTCGACTTTGTATACAGCAGGCTAGCTGCGTCTCCACTTCCTTGAGCGACACTG